TCCTCATCATCATCATCATCATCATCACCACCACCATCATCACCATCATCATCATCACCATCATCATCATCATCATCATCATCATCATCACCACCACCACCATCATTCTCACTGTCACTCAAGCGATTTTCAGCTTGATTTTCATGTTGAGTACAGCTGAAGATATGCAGATTGCATTGGTATTTGCTCGTATCCATTGTCCTGGAATACTTGATATATTAAAGATAGCACCATCTTGTCTCATTCTAGTGCTGTTATGGAGGCTTATGTATGTGTTAATGAGTAAAAATAGTAATCAATTGTACTCTGGTGATGAAGATTATAACGATGTAATAATTTGTCTTTTCAAGAGAGACTTAAAGAGTGAATGAGACAGGGAGAGATAGGGGGTGGAGAGAGACACAGGAAAACAACAACAAAAAACAGTGAGAAAATATCCACACCCACGGAATAAGAAAACAAAAAAGTCTTACCTTTTCCTCCTCCTCCCAACTCTCTCTCTCTCTCTCCCAAGCCCTCCATCCCCCCCCCCCCACACCAACCCCACCCCCACCCCCACCCCCACCCCCACCCCAAGTCGCGCGCGTCTTGGCGGATGACTTTGGCAATCATTATCCAGACTAATCAGGCAGCTGTACCTTCCCACACGGAACGCCTGCTCTCTGCCCGTCAGAAATAGCATGCCGCATTCTAACCGTGACCAGAGGGGGTGGGAGCGGGTTAATATTTTTATCACTGTTATTTTATGATCATCATAATGATAATGACAATAATAATAACTAATGATTATGATACTGACAATGATAATAATGACTAATAATAATGATAATGACAGTAATAATAATAACAGTGATAATAATGATAATGATCATAGTAATTTTAGTGATAATGATAATTGTAATGATAAAAATAGTATTAATGATAGTAGTAATGATAATAATAATTATGTTGATTGTATTATTATTATTATTGTTATTATTAATATAACTTATTGCTATTATTATTGTTGTTATTGTTAGTATTATTTTTGCTACTGCTAGTACTGCTTGGCATAAGTAATGTTATTATCAGTAGTCATGATTGTACTATATATCATCATCTTTATATGGTTCTATATGGCTTACTATAATAATAATGATTATAATATCATCATCATTACTGCTAATACTATTCACAATACCATGTGTATCTTATATTCACCGTTCCATCATTATTTTGTTTTATTACTATTGCTGTCACAGTAGGTATTAGACAGGACGAATATTTTCTCTCCCCTTGCTCTTCAATACTTTCATTACAGGAGTCGCATTGAAGAAGAGAAAAATATCGTAATATTTCTCTGCGATCCGCCTGTCATGGTATTTTCACCTTTATGGCAATGCTGTGGCCTCTCTCTTCACCCTAATGGTCATTAAGAACGATTTGCATATGCGGGTGTTTAAATATGCGGGTTTTGTTGTTGTTGTTTTAATTGGTTTTGATTTTTTTACGATTATTTTTTTTTATAGGTTCATTCCTTTTCATTTGCTGTTGTTTTTTTATTATTCAGTTTATAGTTTTTCGTATTGGTTTTAAAAATTAGATGGGTTATAAAAACGTCAGAAAATTTTGAACGTGCGATGTCGGAGATGTCAAAGATCGAAGCAATAGAAGGAATACAACAAAAAAAAATCCTTTACTGGAATGTTAAGAAAAGCGTACTCTCCTCTTTCCTTTTTTTATGGTAGAGCACGGGCTAAAATGTGGCCTATATTGTGTAATGCAGCAGAAATATATTAAACGTAGGCCTACTTCGACACAAGTTACAGTCGGCCTGCAGTGTACAAATGGGCTACTGAAACACACGGGGAGGGAAAGGAAGTAACTATTAGTTAGATAAAAAAAAATCACTTACTAGAAAAATCTATCGCTCGTTCACTCACTCAATCACTCACTCAATCACTCACTCATTCACTCACTCACTCACTCACTCACTCTCACTCTCTCACACGCACACTATATATATATATATATATATATATATATATATATATATATATATATATATATATATATATATATATATATTCATTTATTTATTTGTTTATTTATTTGTTAATATAAAAAAGGAAAACTCGTAACGTTACCTTTATTTGAACGTAACACATTTCCTACATATGGGTACTGTTGTATTTCTCATCAGATTATCGTACTAAATATCAACAGCCACTTTGGGTGCCATTGCAAATATCACGACCGCGACCAGAACTAATACACGCATCGTATTTTCGCCTTATCGCTGACTCTTAGAAATTTGTCTTGGCAGCAGAAAGAGTCAAGATACTCTGGCTCGTGTGTGTTCGTGTGTATGTGTTTGACTTGTTTCTTGGGTGTAGGCTGGAGTGCGATGTGTGTGTGTGCGTGTGTTGGCATGCGTACATGAGCGCGTGTGTGGTGTGTATAATGCGTGTGTTTGTGTAAAAGATAGATCGATAGAAAAGGGGCGATTTCTCTTTGTATTTTTCCCCATCTATTTATGTTTTTTTTTCATCTATATGTTTTCATATTTTAATCTTTTTATTCACCTGTTTATCCGCTTTTTTTGCCGTAGACGATATCGCACAGGCACGTGCACTTATAGCTTTGTACCTTCAGCTCTCTCGCGAAAAGGC